TCATAGTTCCGGAGGCTGGGCAATCTGAGATCAAGGTGCCAGTAGGTTTGGTGTCTGGTGATAACCCTCATCCTGGTTCATAGACAGTGTCTTCTTGATGTCCTCACATGGCAGGGAAAGCTCAGATTTCTTCATCCCCTTCCTAGGGCAATAATCCCATTCTTGAGGGCTCCACCCTCATGACCTAATGACCTCCCAAAGGCCCCACCTCCTAATACCTACACATTAGGGTTTAAGATTTCAACATATGAATTCTGGAGGACACAAACATTCATTCCCTAATGGTGTTACTTTTAAGCTAAACTGAATACAACAAAGAAGCTGAAGAACTGCTCAGGTAAACGTTTCACCACAACAAGAACATCTGAATATCACTAAGTGTTCTGGCCCAGGGTTTCCTCCCCTGGGTTCAGCGTGTCCTCTCCTCAGAGCATGACACGCTTGAACCCTGGAAGGCCTTGAGTGCTACAAGTTTCCTTGTTCTTTGCCAAGACCATGGTGGAGGTAGAGAGAAGTTTCCACCGCTCAGAGTGTACTCTGACTTTTTCCCAGGCTACTCTCATGTCATCCCACAGACTCAGAACTAGATAATATCAGTGAGAATACTTAGCATTTGGTACACTCACCTTCTTTCCTTAGTACAATTTCTCAGTGATGGGGTTGTTGGAAATGTGAGTGAAAGCAGTGTTTAAGAATCATTCCAGAATGAATCAGAATATAACTTTTTGTAGAGGCAGGATCTAGAACCTGGCTTCAAATACCCATTTTTATGTAAGATGTGACTTGAAGAGAGCCTGGTATACAGCAAGGGCCATGCATTTATTATTAAATTATGTTCACTTTCAGAAGTTTATGAAATGAGGTTGTGCTCCTTTCCTTCTTTGCTGTATGTTAAGAAATATTTCTTTTGTGCTCTTACACTTTTTCTTAAGTTAATTTCATTAGATATTGATGGAAGGGAATTTTGGGACCTGGCCTACTTCTGCTATTTTTACTTGGAAATTCCTCTAGTTACCATCTAACAGAAGTGAGCATTTATGTGAACCAGCACACTTCTGGAAAACATCTGTTTTCTTTTATAAAATTCTCAAGTGATCACACTTTTTACTTTAACTTTAAAAGTCTTATGAGTCATTTTTCTCCTAGTCACTCAAATATATAGTCTGCAATCTCTTTTCTCTTGCTCTCTCTCTCTCTCTCTCTAAATCCCATTTGGAAATTCAAGTAAAGTGGTTTGGAGAAAGAAAAAATGACCTAGCATCCTTCTAAGGGAAGAAAAGTGACCCATTTTAAAGCAGAATCAAAAAAAAAAAGTTGACACTCTTTTGGTCAAAGTTCAGGCTGGGACACTCCTGGGGAGCCACTCTCGGACATTTCCTGGCTTATAGAAGTTACTGATGATGGTACTACCAGAGGCTGGGAGTGTGGGAACCTCCAGATCCACTCAGTCTCTTGTAGCTAGGTTTCTGCCAGGTACCGATTCCCTCAGATTCAAGGCCTAGATTTCAGGCAAGTAACCCTCGGCAAGGACTAATGCTAAAGCTAAAGCTCCAGTACTTCAGCCACCAGATGCGAAGAGCCGACTCTTGGGAAAAGACCCTGATGCTGGGAAAGACTGAAGCAAAGGAGAGGGGGCGGCAAGGGGATGAGATGGTTAGATACCGTCACTGATTCAACGGACATGAGTTTGAGCAAACTCCAGGAGATAGTGAAGGACAGACGAGCCTAGCATGCTGCAGCTCATGGAGTTGCAGAGTCAGATACAACTTAGTGACTGAACAGAAACAACAAATACTAAAATATGTAAAATCCGGAATGAGTGAGGCATGTTATTCAATTTCTTCTGTTTTTTCTAATTGATCCAGTAGATTTCCAGATTTTAACTTCTTACGTTTGTGGAATATATGTCCTTTGTTATAGTAAATTCTATTTTCAATAAGCAGTTATACATTTGTTAAGCTGTTTATATTTATTTAAAAGGAAACTTTTATTTCTGGTATACCTATTAAAATGTGTGGGACAGAGTTCTGTGGAATAATAATTGAGGACAAACTGGTCTATGGATTGCTTTTCTTACAACAAAGAAGCTGAAGAACTGCTCAGGTAAACGTTTCACCACAACAAGAACATCTGAATATCACTAAGTGTTCTGGCCCAGGGTTTCCTCCCCTGGGTTCAGCGTGTCCTCTCCTCAGAGCATGACACGCTTGAACCCTGGAAGGCCTTGAGTGCTACAAGTTTCCTTGTTCTTTGCCAAGACCATGGTGGAGGTAGAGAGAAGTTTCCACCGCTCAGAGTGTACTCTGACTTTTTCCCAGGCTACTCTCATGTCATCCCACAGACTCAGAACTAGATAATATCAGTGAGAATACTTAGCATTTGGTACACTCACCTTCTTTCCTTAGTACAATTTCTCAGTGATGGGGTTGTTGGAAATGTGAGTGAAAGCAGTGTTTAAGAATCATTCCAGAATGAATCAGAATATAACTTTTTGTAGAGGCAGGATCTAGAACCTGGCTTCAAATACCCATTTTTATGTAAGATGTGACTTGAAGAGAGCCTGGTATACAGCAAGGGCCATGCATTTATTATTAAATTATGTTCACTTTCAGAAGTTTATGAAATGAGGTTGTGCTCCTTTCCTTCTTTGCTGTATGTTAAGAAATATTTCTTTTGTGCTCTTACACTTTTTCTTAAGTTAATTTCATTAGATATTGATGGAAGGGAATTTTGGGACCTGGCCTACTTCTGCTATTTTTACTTGGAAATTCCTCTAGTTACCATCTAACAGAAGTGAGCATTTATGTGAACCAGCACACTTCTGGAAAACATCTGTTTTCTTTTATAAAATTCTCAAGTGATCACACTTTTTACTTTAACTTTAAAAGTCTTATGAGTCATTTTTCTCCTAGTCACTCAAATATATAGTCTGCAATCTCTTTTCTCTTGCTCTCTCTCTCTCTCTCTCTAAATCCCATTTGGAAATTCAAGTAAAGTGGTTTGGAGAAAGAAAAAATGACCTAGCATCCTTCTAAGGGAAGAAAAGTGACCCATTTTAAAGCAGAATCAAAAAAAAAAAGTTGACACTCTTTTGGTCAAAGTTCAGGCTGGGACACTCCTGGGGAGCCACTCTCGGACATTTCCTGGCTTATAGAAGTTACTGATGATGGTACTACCAGAGGCTGGGAGTGTGGGAACCTCCAGATCCACTCAGTCTCTTGTAGCTAGGTTTCTGCCAGGTACCGATTCCCTCAGATTCAAGGCCTAGATTTCAGGCAAGTAACCCTCGGCAAGGACTAATGCTAAAGCTAAAGCTCCAGTACTTCAGCCACTAGATGCGAAGAGCCGACTCTTGGGAAAAGACCCTGATGCTGGGAAAGACTGAAGCAAAGGAGAGGGGGCGGCAAGGGGATGAGATGGTTAGATACCGTCACTGATTCAACGGACATGAGTTTGAGCAAACTCCAGGAGATAGTGAAGGACAGACGAGCCTAGCATGCTGCAGCTCATGGAGTTGCAGAGTCAGATACAACTTAGTGACTGAACAGAAACAACAAATACTAAAATATGTAAAATCCGGAATGAGTGAGGCATGTTATTCAATTTCTTCTGTTTTTTCTAATTGATCCAGTAGATTTCCAGATTTTAACTTCTTACGTTTGTGGAATATATGTCCTTTGTTATAGTAAATTCTATTTTCAATAAGCAGTTATACATTTGTTAAGCTGTTTATATTTATTTAAAAGGAAACTTTTATTTCTGGTATACCTATTAAAATGTGTGGGACAGAGTTCTGTGGAATAATAATTGAGGACAAACTGGTCTATGGATTGCTTTTCTTGTTTTAAGTTTGCCAGGTTTAGTACGAGAGCTGTGTTAACTTTCTAGAATCTGGACATGAATAAAACTTTGTCAATATTTTGGTTTATTATATTAACATATGTTTCATGATTATAAAACTATCCTGTTCATTACAGAAAATTGGGAAAATATAAAAGATCAGAGAACAAAAGTATTTAAATCACCTAAATATATTCCCAGTACTAACGATAACTGTTGTTAACATTCTAATCACTTTTAATTTATCTATATCTGTATAGGTATCTTTCTTGGATTTATATATGTTCAGATACTTATGAAACAAATTATTATGTGTTTTATGCAGTTCTATGTTGTATTCTTTTCACCACGGTTTCCCCATGACATTTCCCCATGACATTAAACGTTCTTTAACTATATTTTTGATAACTGTATAACAGTTCCGCTCACTGAAATTATAGTTAGTTATTTTCCATTTTGAAATTAGGTTACTCCAGAAATTTGCTAGTCAAAATAATCTTGTTAAAAGCATCTGTTTTACTTACATCTTGATCTGCGTTTCTGATTATAGGATGGATTCCTTTAAGTAGAAGTAAGGAGCCAAAAGACATAGCATTTAGAAGATTTTTGATACATAGTGCCAATTTATCCTCTAGAAATATACTCTCAACAGCCCAGTGTAAATGTATTCTTCTGGATTTCCAGTGGACTATCTTATTTCCTAAACCTTATATAAGCTTTCCACATATTACCAGAGACCCCTTTTGGTACATATAGAAACATGTGTGGCCTAAAGGGCTTTCCTTTCCTTTCTTCCGAGTCCAACACACATAGAGCCTAAAATGAGAGAAAGGCATATTTTCTAGTATAAACCAGGTTATGGGGCAGTTATGAAGATTTACTAGCTTAAAATCAGATTTGCACTTCACATATTAGGTTAGCCAAAAATTTCACTGGGTTTTAAGTAAAAATAAAAGACACATTTTTCATTTTAACCAAGACCATTACTGAACAAGTATTCCTTAACTGAACGAACTTTTTGGCCAACCCAACACCTGCTGCACAAGGCTCCAGATGGCGGTGCCAGTGCAGGCAGTCCCTGCCCACGGCCCCTGGCGCCATCTTGGACTGCAGTGTTGGGAGCGGCCTCTTTGCACACGGTCCCCAGCTGCCATCTTGGATTGCCGTGCCGCGTGAAGTGCTTCTGCACGCTGCCAGAGCTGAGCTGATGGCGGCAGCCATTCCACACGAGCAGCTCTGGTCTGAAGAACCGAGTATAAGACCTTTACATGTGGCCCCCTGTGAGCATGTGAAACTGGACTAAGCACAAAAGGAAAAAAAGGTTAGGCTTTATCTTATTACCCAAATTCTATTTTTCTGCCTAAAAATTGTTAATGGGCTGTACCAGTGACCCTTGTGGGGCAGAACTCTGGTTAAAAATGGCCCAGATACTTCAAGGGGGTGTTTGTGAGGCTGTGTAGTGAGCTGTGGGGAGGGCTGCAGCCGGCGCCTCTGTCTCCCCAGAGATGCTCTGTGGAAGCAAAGTCGTCTTACGGGGCTTTGGATTCGGACCTCAGTTTTCTCAGAGGAGAGGGTGGCGAGGGCAGGTCCCCGGGAGCAGATCTGCCTCTTGTTTGCTCTGCTGCCAGGATCCTGGTAGGAGAATGAAGTGAATGGAGATCGCAGCCACACACTGGTATTAATATTTTCTGTGTCTGATGTGTCCTGTTGCTGCTTCTGCTCTGTTCTGCCGTGAGATCTTGGCTTTGTGTCTCCCAGCCCTCCAGCTGGGTTGAAAATGAAGGTCACTCTTCCTCGTTCCCTTGCCCTCCAGCTTGCCCCTTTGGGATGGGTTCTCTGCAGTCTCCCCATGGGCCTGGTTTTCTGCCTAAAGCAGGGATTTGTCCAGAGAGGCATCAAAGTTTACTCAGCCGTGTGTGTGTGTGTGTGTGGTCACTCAGTCCTGTCAGATTCTGCCACCCCATGGACTATAGCCCTCTAGGCTCCTCTGTCCATGGAATTTTTCAGGCAAGAATACTGGAGTGGGGTGCCATTTCCTCCTCCAGGGGATCGTCCCTCCCTAGGGATTGAACCCACCATGTCTCCTGTGTCTCCTGCATTGGGAGGTGGATTCTCGACCACTAGCACCACCGGGGAACACACTCGGTCCTTTCCTTGTCTTTTCCTTCCTGGCGAGGGTTTTTTTGGCTCCCTCTTCTGTTGTCACCTTTCCAGTTTAGGATACATCCCCTCCCTCACTGTCATTGTGCTAATCTCAGGACTAGAAAGAAAACCAGTAGAAAAATCAGAAAATGGCATTAACCTGTACAGAAATGCCCTTGGTTTTCAGGGAGTTGAGGGTTTGACAAGAACCATGGATACTCGCATGCAATGGAAGTGACCAAATGTCCTAATTTTATTGGATTAATTCTAACTTCCTTCTGCCCTTGATCCCCTCTACCCCGAAACTTTATTCTGAGACTCTAGGTAGGTAGGTAGCTTTCTTGGCTTCTAGTGGGGATAATGAGATCTTACCTGAAGTCAGGGGCAGGACCATGGTCTCTGAAGGCCCCTCAGTACTGAGATGTACGATTCTATGAATACTCCTTTAAATTCCCAGAAACAAAGTCACAATCCAACAAAATTTCAGTATTCCCACTCTTCACCGAAGTGTTCTGAGATAAGAAATGCCAAAGAAATGAGATGGTATGTGAGTCAGAATACAGATCTCTAAAATCAGAAGGACTGAGAAATTGTATATGCAGATTTCTGACTATCAGTGAATGGGCAAAAAATTCTAATTATGAAATGAAATTATACCGAATCTTCTGTAAGGCAATCATAAAGGCCCTAAAAATGTAGCCTGATTCAGCCAAGGCACAGACAGGAGGCATTTAGAGTCAAACACAACTGAATGACTTGCTGGCATAACCAGCCTGGAAGCCATTTGGGGTTCTTTTTGCTGATGTATAATTGAAGTGAAAGAGGAGGAAGCCAAAGCCAGGGAGAAATATGAGACTCAGGATAGAGTGGCTGAGGCTGCATCTTGGACCCAAGGTGAACTTTCAGAGTTTGATGGCAGTCTGTCTGAAGCTGAAAGACTGACAGCTTGAACTGATGGTGGCTCTTTGCTTTTAAAGGCAGAGAGGACTGAGAGAGCAAGACACACCACTTGGGCCAGGAGAGGATGCAGGTAGAGAGGACATCTCAACTTTTATTATTCATGAAGGCTGGATGGGCATGAGATCATAGACTTTACTCTCCTGGGCAGAATTCACAGGAAGTTAAACAAAGGGTCTTAATAGTCCATTGGATGATTTTGCTAAATAAAATTTGTTGTTGTTCAGTTGCTAAGTTTTCTCCAACTCTTTACGAGCCCCTGGACTGTAGCACACCAGGTGTACCTGTCCTTCACTGTCTCCTGGAGTTAGCTCAAACTCATGTCTCTTGAGTCGGTGATACCATCCAACCACCTCATCCTTTGTTGCCCCCTTCTCCTCCTGCCTTCAATCTTTCCCAGCATCAGGCTCTTTTCCACTGAGTCAGCTCTTTGCCTCAGTTAGCCGGAGTGTTGGAGCTTCAGCTTCAGCATCAGTCCTTTCAATGAATATTCAGGGTTAATTTCCTTTAGGATTTACTGGTTTGATCTCCTTGCAGTCCAAGGGACTCTCAAGAGCCATTCTCTTCTGCAGGGAATCTTCCCAACTCAGGGATTGAACCTGAGTCTCCTGCATTGCAGGCAGATTCTTTATTGTCTGAGCACCAGGGAAGCCCAAATAGAGGTTGGGCATTAGACTGAGAGTCCTGCCCAATTCACTATTGATCAGCCAGCCTTCCTGACCCTTGGGGATTCCATTATCTCCTCTGAAGGATTTGGCAGTACTTACTTTTTAAAGTGAGATTACCTGCAATATGTGGCTAGAAATGGTTTTGCATGCATCTTGATGACAAAATGAAATGTATCCCTGTCTCTCTGTGTAAATCTACCTGTATTAGGTCCTATAAAGCACTTGGTTGTTGCTTTACAAGAAAATATGGGAATTTCTGAGTTTTTCTTGTTATGAACACTTGCTTCATTTATGATCAATTTATTCTCCACACCGTCACTTAAATGTTATTCTATATAAACAAAAACTTCATTTCAATTACAATTTTTACTGAAAGTTAAATTTCAGGGCAATATCTCTGAAGAAAAATGTAACTAAATTAGACTCTAAATTAAATTTAAAATTCACCTTCTCATGTTACTATATATGTGAAAAACTCAACAAAGATGTCAAGGTGATTAAGGCCTGTGTTTCAGATGTGTAAATTTACACTCCTCTGCTTAGAAGATGGTAGTTTCTTTTGATATTGGATCCTTTAAATTGTGAAAAAAAAAGCTATCATTTTATTAAAAATATAAAGGAATATATAAAATGGTAGCAGGCATTGCTTTTAATTGTCACTATCTCTTTAGTCTTCTTCAGTCTAGAAGAATTCTTCAGTCTCTCACATTATGACCTTGAAAGTTTTGAAGACTTTATCAAGAATTTTATATATCTTCAATTTGCTTTTCTCTGCTATTTCTTTGTGATAGTTTCAGGCAAATGCATCACCTGAAACTATCACAAAGAAATAGCAGAGAAAAGCAAATTGAAGATAAATAAAATTCTTCATTCTATTGGATGTTCCATGATTTCAGTTTTTCCTTTTACTAATGATGTTTATGTTCATTACTTGATTAAGGTGATGTCTGCTAAGCAGTTGAGAAGTTGTTTCTTTAGCAAAAATCCACTTGGTTCTCTTACAATACCATCCTCCAATGCTATTTTAGTTTAGTGCACTGCACCTTATATGGTGGCAATGACATATCTAAGGTTGCTGACCTAGCTTTAATTGTATTTACACAGTTTTGAGGTCCTGTTAGCTTTCTTTATTTGATTATTTAGAACGCTTTTCTCTCCTTTTTTTCTTGGTATACAGTATCACTTCTCTCTAACTTATATGTAGGAACATTGTACATTGGTTTCCAAAATCTCACTTTGAACATACACATTAATGAACAGAAAGTATATTCCTTCAAGTTTACACAACCCATTATAGGGAAGAATAATTAGAAAAATCCTTTTAGTCTTTATAAAAACAAAATAGAATTTATGTATTAGAACTATTTGTCTAAAATAGGTTGCTAGGAAATCATATATAAAATGCAATTTTAATTCTCAAAGGAGATGAAGAAGTTGATGGGAGAGCAGGAAGAAAGTGGGATGGCCATAGTAGACAAGGGGGGAAAGCTGTGTCCACATCTGCCATCCTGAGTGGAGGCTGAGCCTGGGTCTGGATGCCACAGGTATGAGTGCTGGGTGGTGACCACCATCTCCAGTCCCTCCAGCAGGTATAACCGGGGGGTGAGAGTACTCAGATCCAGAGGTTGTGAAGTAGAAAGACCAGATAGAAGGTAGCGACCTTGGGAACTCCCGCCTGTGCTCTATCCTTAATACCTATGTGATGCTGTCTGTTTGCTTTTCTTGACCTCAGTTTTCATGCTGTGGAGAAAAAAGGGACGATTTCAGGACTGGGAAATTCTGAGATGAGAAATAAGGCACAAGAGTAACACAAAGGGAGTAAAACAGAAACAGATAATCAAGAAAACTTTTGCCTGCTTTGGGCTCAGTCTTTAAGCCATGGATACACATTCCTGCGTCCCACGCGTTCACAGAGATCTGAGATTCCAACCATAGCAATGCTTTGTCTGCCTTCCTTCCTGCCCTCAACCCAAAGAGCTGTCCATCTGTCCTCTCATTCTTGTTAAACTTGCTGTTTTCCTGAAACTCTCAGAGGTAAACGTTTCAGTCTATGCTTCTGTTCCTGCTCAGAATGCGCTTAGAAGGAGAATCACTGTCAGAGAGGCAATGAGGAGACAGATAATAAGTATGGGGTTTAAGAAGTAGGAAAAGAGAGTTAAAAAGGAGAATTATTGCCATAGAAACCTTTTTCATTCCTGCCTGGCTTCACTGAGGCCTGAGAAGCTGGCACTTTGCTGTGGAGACACTTCTGATTCAAGATTTATAGACGTAGCTCATGAGGCCCTTATGCTTTAAAAACTCAGAGCTGGGTGAAAAGAAATTACAGAACTATTAGAAAACATTTTAGTCTTGTTAAAATGTGTTTTTTTTCTTTTAAAGGATCAAGTCTGACATAGCTTTCTCACTGAGGTACTATAAGAGACAGTCTGCACAGTTGGAGGTGATGAGTTTTTTTTTTTCTGTGAAACAAACTTTATTCTTAAGTGTGATTTTTCCCAGAGGTACAAGATACAGGTGCTTAGAAAGATGGACTTTCCTTTAGGGACTTCCCTGGTACAAGATACAGGTGCTTAAAAAAAAAATGGACTTTGCTTTAGGGACTTCCCTGGTGGTTCACTGGTTAAGAATCTGCCTTCTAGTGCAGGGAATGCAGGTTCAATCCCTGGTCGGGGAACTAAAATCCCATATGCCAGAGTAACTAAGCCTACACACCACAACTACTGAACCTGTGGTGATGGGTTTTAACAGGCTTTTGAAAATTATCACAAGGGGCTTTCAGGTAGAGGAGCATAGAGGAGAAGGAAGAGGTGGTTTTGCACTAAAATACATAAATAAGTACAATTAAAAAATTGAGCTGCCTTCTAAGAATGGTAAGACTTAGTCATGGGCATGGGCTTCCCAATGGCATTAGGAACACCATGCGCCTACCTGCCCACAGAACTCTGTTTCAGCAGGTGGGGCAAGGAGAAAATATTTCCTTTAGGCATACTAACACAAAATCAAACCTGTTCTTGCAATGAGCTTCAAATGCCAGTAAGATAATTTGATGACTGCAGTGGCAGAAGGCAGGAAAGCTGTTGGAAAAAGGCTGTCTAAAGAGACTATAATTAGCAGTTTCCCTAATTATCCACATGGTTCACCATGTTCCATGGATGGGCTCTCAGGTTAGTGCAGTTTGGGGCTCAGCTTAGGGCTGGGGGTGAGGGAGGGTTGATATCTTTAAATTTCAAAGATTATTAAAGGCTTCCTTCTGGGGCAGGAAACTCAAAGTCTATCTAAAGGAAAAATACAGTATGAACCCCAAATTAGAGCCCAAAGTGAAATATTTCCATTAAGAGTTTAACCAGATAGGTAGAAAGATAAAAAGAAATCTTCCCACATTATGAAATCCAAAGAAAACTACTCTTAACATTAAAATTTTTATTCCTTCTCCTCTTTTTAAAAACATATTTGAAATTGCACCTAGTTAATCAATTATTAAAAATAAGTTTTGGAAATAATTGTAGATTCACAGGAAGTTGTAAAAAAATTTACAGAGAGTTTCTGTGTATTCTTCACCTAGTTCTCCCTAATGGTAACATCTTATGTAACTATAGTACAATATCACAGCCAGGAAACAGACATTGGTACAATCCACAGAGCTTATTCCAACTTCACCAGTTCTGTATTCACTCATTTGTGTGTATGTATATATAATTCTATGCTGTTTTTATTGCAGGTGTATATTCATGTAACCACCACAATCAAGATACAGAACTGCTCCATCACCACAAAGCTTCCACATGCCACCTCTTTACAGTCACATACACCCTAGCAACATACAACTTTAATTTTTGCATTCTTTCACTGTTATGGCCCTAGGAAAATATTACTGAACAAGCAAAAATCCCTGCTCTATTGAGAAAATACACAAATTTTCACAATGAATACAGGTATATCTTAGGGATATTGCATGTTCAGTTTCAGACCACCACAGTAAAGTGAATCTTGAAATAAAAAATAAGCAACACATGAATTTTTTGGTTTCCCAGTACACATAAAAGTTATGTTTACCTTATACTGTGGTCTGTTAAGTGTGCAATAGCATTATGTCTTAAAAAAAGTGTGTGTGTGTGTGTGCACACCCACGTGCTCAATTGTATCCAACTCTTTGAGACACCATAGACTATAGCCCATCAGGCTCCTCTGTCCATGGAATTTTTCAGGCAGGAAAACTCGAGTGGGTTTCCATTTTCTACTCCAGGGGATCTTCCCAACTCCAGGATTGAACCTGCATCTCCTGTACTGGCAGGAGGATTCTTTACCACTGAATCACTTGGGAAGACCAAGAAGAAAGGCTTTCCCGCCCTTGATTAAAATATTTTATTGCTTAAAAGATGTTAACCACCATATGAGTTTTCAGGGACTCAATCTTTTTGCAGTAGTAACATCAAAGAGCACTGATCACAGATTCCCATAATAAACATAATAATAATGAAAATTTTGAAATATTGCAAAGACTAGTGAAATGTGACACAGAGACACAACATGAGCAACTGCTGTTGGAAAAATGGTGCCAATAGATTTGCTTGATGCAAGGTTGCCACAAAACTTAAATTTTTTTAAAAATGCATATCTGGGAGGCTCAGTAAAATGAAATGTGCCTGTAGAAAAAATATTAAGAGGACAGGGAAGCCTGGTGTGCTGCAGTTCATGGGATTGCAAAGAGTCAGACATGACTGAGTGAACAACAGCTGGTAAGAACTACTCACGGGTGTTTTTGTGATTTTAGGAAAGGCATGTCTCTACATCTAAGAAGCTATCTTCTGGGTTTCAGGCAGATGGGACAAAAAGACTGAGGAGATTGAGAGTGAGAAGTACTAAAGATTTTTTCAGATAATGAAGGCAGATAGAAAAGCAAACCAAATAGCAAACCAAAACCAATTCCACTTAGCTGTTGGTGCTTAAGCTAGGAAATTGACTCTGGTAGGGACAGAAGGCAGGTGTTGAAAAATATCAGAGAGGCAACTGCTGACAGATAGCTTGAAATACTTTTCCTGATTATCTGTGTGAGTCATCCTTTTATAGGTCAAAGTTATGCTCATGTTGGTGCATTCAGGTCAGGGCAGGACAGTGACCTGAGACTGAAGCTTTGAAGTTCCATGGGTTAACCTTTTTGACATTCTTTGAGGGTCTCCTCCCTGTGGTTATAGTCTGGACACAAGCTTTTTAAAGAAAAATCAAATAGAAAAGGAAATTCTTTTTTTTCTTCTTTCTTCTCGTATAGCATTTTAACAGAAAACTGGAAAGAAGAAAAAAACCAGTCATTATAGCACCCCTGTTGTTTACCAAGTTTCCACATATACTCATCCAGTGTTGATAGTTGAAATTGTGTGCATGCTTAGTCACTCAATCGTGTCTGACTCTTTGCAACCCCATGGACTGTAGCCCACCAGGCTCCTCTGTTCATGGGATTTTTCAGGCAAGAATATGGGAGTGGGGTGCCATTTCCTCCTCCAGGGAAATCTTCTTGACCCAGGGATCTGATCTGCGTCTCCCATGCCTTCTGCATTGCAGGCAGATGATTTCCTGCTGAGCCACAGGGGAGGCCAAGCAATAGATGGAAACTTCTGCTAATTAAAGCTGAAAATGCATCTATTAAGGGGTACAAAATAGCTCATAGAGTCTCTGAGAATCAGGCTTGGAGTTGAGCCGTGTCACGCAAAAGGGTCAAAACTCATTCTGCAGAACTGGTCTGGTGAGG